GAGAGAGAGAGAGAGAGAGAGAGAGAGAGAGAGAGAGAGAGAGAGAGAGGAGGAGGGTCCTGCAGGGAAGGTGGCGGGCGAGGAGAAAGATGAACACACCGTCGATTCCAGTGGTCAGCAGTTTGGGCACACGATGCATAGCCGGAGGAGAGTCGTGCGAGAGCGAACCAGAGCAGCATAGTACTCGAGCTACAAGTGGGACTTCCTTGACTGAACGTACCTGTCAATTACTATCAAATGCATTCAGGAATGCGTTCGTTGTGAGTGTGACATTGTCCCTTTGTAAGTTGCTTAACCGCGGTGTGAATGTCTCTGAACGATACCCTCCAGAGTCCAGGGTGCTGACGAAAAGGCGGGGTGGCAATTTTGACATTCACCTGCAGGTGGGTTCGCTATAAGCCTTTAGTCCCGGAGAAAGAGAACCAAAGGGTAGTCTGTGCCACTGTGGCTATAGAGCGCGACTCGGTGGCGAACATGAGTTCCCTAATCTTCTAGTACATGATGAGACAATCAATTATGGGTTCCCTAATCTTCTAGTATATGATGAGACAATCATAGCCTCATAGGTAATCAGGGGTTCCCTAAGTATGTTGGTAATACTTGATATGACGATGTGGCGATGTGGCGATGATGGGATTCATGGGTTCCCTAAGCGTGTAGTTGATGAGCACATAGTCGTACTATGTTGTTCTGAGTCTTATGACTATGTGGCAAGCATGAATTCCCTAAGCGTGCTCGCCCATGACTATTGATTTGACTGTGTTCCAATGCTGGGTTTGCTTACCCTGCAGATCGGGAGAACATGTAGTACCGTACTAGTACCCAGTGGCACTCCGTTAATTTTGACATACAAGTTGATAAAACCACGGTGTTTGTACGAACATGCGAAAGTCATGATTTATGGCTTCCCTTCAGCCTTCAGTCCACGAGAAGAGGGTATGTACTCTGTTGATTGATATATTACAGTATGCGGCAAACATGTATTCTTTTGGGTGACTAGTCTTGCCGTTCTTTTCTGTAGTGAGAGCCTGAGAGGTTATAATTAGTGCGAGTTATGGGGAAAGCTGGAAACGTGTTGCCGTTTTCTTTCTGTGGCAAACACCATATTAACAGAAGTAGTTGGGACTAGTCCGATTAGATGGTTCACTACGTTGTTCGATGCGACAGGATGTCTCGGGGCACATGACGAGGGCGGTTTACCAGTGGGGAAGGATAGGAAGAACATGTCCAGAGATTGTCGGGGCAGTTGTACAAGATGGAGGMGGGAGAGAGTTTACGCATTTTCCAGCGCAAGGTTGGAGCAGCGGAGGCAGGTCACGTGCGGGCTGCACACGGAAACTGAAGGAACATGTAAGATGCCGTTCTCCACACTCACACACACTCACGCACAGACACAGAGAGAGAGAGAGAGAGAGAGAGAGAGAGAGAGAGAGAGAGAGAGAGAGAGAGAGAGAGAGAAGGGAAAGAACGTACGAGCTGCGGGTCCATGAAATCGAGGGCCGGAGAAAACGTAGAATCGTAGATCTATGGGCAGACGGAAGGTGGACTGCTGGGATAACGAAGTCGTCAGTACCACGCAGGGGGAGAGAGAGAGAGAGAGATAGGAGGAAGAAACATAAAGTCGAATTGCAGTATAATGGGTCCGGACGGTGACTTCGAGTTCAAAATTGACTGAGGCAACGATCATTGGGGGGAGAGAGAGAGAGAGAGAGAGAGAGAGAGAGAGAGAGAGAGAGAGAGAGAGAGAGAGAAGCTGACGCAGGAGTTCATTGGGTGTGTGAGAGGGATGGCTGGCAACGATCGGCAGCAAATCGAATCACGGGGTGGTTTTGATTATTGTGCTCGAAGCAGTCTTGATAACGTTGATTGGAGTAGGGTGTTATATTCTCTTCTGTTCGATAATTGCGGCTTTTCCGCTCAGGGGTTTGCCGTCCTTGTACTGGAGGGCATTGGTGGCTCTAATAATGAAGAAGGGGACACAGCGGGTTTTTGTGAAATTGTGAATGATGTATATCATGTTATCCCTCCCGGTAGGTGGTGACTGGGGATACGGCTCGCCGGGATACCGGTCCTGATAATAGAATACGGAGGAGTAGTTAATCTGAACGCAACAGGCCGAAATTATGTAAAGATCCATAAAACTGAAAAAGCCAGAAGCGAGGAGAAAAAGGAAAAGGCTATCATGGTCATTTTGTCAAGAATGGCACTGCCGCAATGTTAATCTCATTATCAAAGGTCCGACCCCGAATGGAAGCGTCGTGACCTATTTCCTTTTCTTCAGTCAGACGAAGGGTTTTTTTTTTTTTTTTTTGGTTGTTGTTCTTGTGAATGTTACCACGCCCGTACCGCAACTTTGTTTTGGAAAATATGGTCCTCTCTGTCTCTCTCTGTCTCTGTCTCTCTCTCTCTCTCTCTCTC